CTCTCTCTCTCTCTCTCTCTCTCTCTCTCTCTCTCTCTCTCTCTCTCTCTCTCTCTCTCTCTCTCTCTCTCTCTCTCTCTCTCTCTCGCCGTAGCAATATCTCCAGCGCAGCAGGTACGTAGTAACCCAATCTTGTATCGCTCAACCTTTCCCTCTCTCTCTCTCTCTCAGTCTTCTTCTTCGTCGTGGTCTTCTCTGCAGGTGCGCGGCCGCTTCTCCAACCTTCAGGTCCGCTATGGCGGACTATGATTCTCGGCGGCCACCTCTGCTATGGCGCATCAGGCCCTGCACACGACCGCGGTCATGGAATAGCGGGTACCAGCTCGGATACCAATTCAATCAGACTCGTTCTCATTTACACTTTTCATGCATGTAAACAGTAGCGCAGCAAACTGGCGACATGCGCCCACTCAAAACTCAGAGATATAGCATCAAGATACGAGTTCACTTTCAACTGGCTATGGCGACTCAGCGCCCAAACAACTCACTGTTCACATACACCGGATCACCCTGGATATCCCACACGCAACTCTCTGAACTCACACACACACACACACACTCGCTACACACTAACTCTAGCTACTTATACACATCTAGATGTGTATAAGAGACAGGTGCAAGGGGGAAGGGGGTTGAGGTTAGGGTTAGGGAAAATTCGGCGTCCTTGTTTTTTTCTGTTTCATTTGTGTATGTTTGAGTGAGAAAGAGAGAGAGAGAGAGAGAGAGAGATGGAGGAAGGGGGGGGGGGAAGGGTAAGGTAGAAGTCAGCGGAGGGGGACGCAATCTTTTTTTTGGTTTTGTTTTTTTTACTGTTTTTTTTGTGTGTGTGTGTGTTTTTGTGTCTCAGAGAGAGAGAGAGAGAGAGAGAGAGAGAGAGAGAGAGAGAGAGAGAGAGAGAGTTTGCAGCGGTCGGTTGCCTTCACCTTTTTACTGCATCACCTGCCGCGTTTGTTTCTGCGAGCTAAGCCGCAACAGGTCATCTAGTTGCTCTTATTTGGATTGTATCTCGGTGCATTGTGCTTTCTGCTTGGTTCTCGACTGTCTGGCCTACAGTGTGATTTTGCAATTCTGCCTATCGCTCTCGCTTGTATTCCTTGCAGTTTTCTGATATCTTTAGAATTTTGATTAAAAAAAAAAAAAAAAACCCTATGCTATACGAAATTGCAATATGAACAACTTTTTGCCTGAGGGTCTAGGAGAAATTCCCAACCAAATTCCAGAACAAAAATAAAAACAATATCTGGTACTACAAGCCGCTGCAAAGTTGTGCCCTTAAACTCGCTGTACAATGCATGTGCGTTGTATTCGAATACGAGATACCCCGTATGTTGTATTCACATACAATGTACGTATATTTTTTCCGGGTTAAGACAGTAGTGGCCTGGGGGAAGGCTATATCTATTGGTGGGGAGCATCACCGGCTGGAAAACGGGTCCAGCGTCACATGTACACAAAATAGGAAATATTGAAATGTTTGGGTCTTCGCCCTGCAGTATTGATGGCCCTGGAGCCCCAGGAGATCAACTGAGCAGGCTTGATTGAAACTCCCATTTCAAGAAAAAAATATGGAATGGGGGGAAGAGGTCCTGCATGGATAACAGCTTTGGGGAGTTAGGGGGCACCGGGCTCGAGCTGTTATTTCCTTTCCCTCCTCCTCCCACCCCATTCAGTCATCCTGGAACACTTCCACTATAGCCAAAACGGGTGTGGGGGAAACAGATCTGGAAAGTCTGCTGGTAACCATAATGTTGGCCACGGAAGGCCTTCCTCTTCCTCCTGCTGGGTTCTTTGTTGAGATCCTCGTCCCGGCCATGTCATTTCGGCCATCGAACCACCCTGAGTCCCGCCCAGGCATTCTCTGCAAAACTGAGAGATTGTCCTGTCGATGTTGGCCTCTGTGTGCATGCCGTCCATCTTCGTTTTTGTTGCCAGCCATTGATTGCAGATCTCTGTTTGGACTAGCTGCGTTATTTGCTCCGTTATCTCCCCTTCCTCCACCCCTGCCCCCTCCATCTCTAGGATGCAGCACTGCCACCAAATTGCCCATAAGGAGCGACTGCCTGCACAAGCGAAACATGTTGTCTTTGAAGCTGTCATCTTGAAAACAAGGGAAGTATTCGGTTAGCAGCGCCCTCCACTCCCATGGCCATATCGATCCCGGAGCCTTCATTTGCCATATCCGACCTCACCATCGCCATGTTAGCACTGCTGTCTGACATTGCGAAAAAACAGATGTTCAATGGTCTCTGGGCTTTTCCAAGATCGGTAGCCAGCCAGACATTTCTTGCACCACGGTAGCGCCCGGGTCTGTTCCCCCAAATTCGTGTGATCTATCAACCAATCATTGGTCGGTAGGCACACGTGAGCAATCTGCCACCGGAGTGACGAGACCTTGGCTGGTTTGAGCGTATATTCCCGGAACCACTGAATCAGTGCCAACATTTGGTGGCTGACATTTAAGTGCCGATGCTATCTGTCTTTCACCATGTCGCGCAGTACCCTCTTTGTTCTCAACATCTGGTATGTTGTTTTTACCTTGAGATTGGCCAGGTTGTGGTCCTTCGTCTTATCTCCCCTTTGCCGCCTGGCATGCGCACATTTCCACTCCTGGGGGTCGAAGGGCAGTTTCGAGATTGGCGTGTCAGATCTGTAGGCTGTCCTGTAGTCCCTTTCCGCAGCACCCTAATTCGACACATCTCCTCCTTGTTTACCCATACGAATGGCCGCCTGCTGCCCTGCAGGGCCCCGTTTTTGATGAGGGTGTACTCCTCTAGTAGCGCATCCTCCTGTTGAACCAGATGGACCATCCTCACTCGGTCTGATACTCCCACCTTCCCCACCCAGTCCCCCTCTTTCAATTTGGGTCCATTTCCAAGAATGGGGTACCATGCTATGGGGAAGTATCTATGAGGTCCTGAAGCGCCTGCTCTGTTTGGTGACAGCACCGCAGTCTCTACCGGATCTGTTCCACCCCTCTGCACTCCTCCTCGTCCCACAGGTTTCCCACTCGTGTCACCCTGTGCTTCACCCAGCCCCTCTACGGAGAGTCTGAGCTACACCTAATTTGGCTGTGAGAATCCGTGATCCACCTATTTCTGAATAGGGGTTGTCTCATTATTTCCTCCCATCGATTCGGGGCTGGCTTATTCGGTACTCGGAGTTTCCTCCATGTCTTCAACATTCGTGGCCAGAAGTCCTCAACCGGCTCCCCGTTCCTATGCTTCCATGGTATCCTCCAGTATCTGTCCTCTAACCAGGTAAGTGGATCTACTTCTGGGGGTGCGTCCCACGCGAACTCCGCAATCTGTGCCAGTGCCAGGGGACGCCACTAGGAGGATGCTGAGAAGATAAGTGTCTTGAACCATTGCAGCCTAAGGGGTTGAGTTTGTGTGAGGAGGTCTATGGTGCCCAGCCCTTCTCCGGCCTTGGGCTGTATTACGGAATCCCATGCCACCCTGCTAATCACATGCGGCCTCTCGCTATCCCCCCTCCATAGCGATGCTGCCGCTTGCTGTTTTAGTGATCTGAGTGACACTTTACGATCTCTATTTTGGTCTGTACAGTTACAGTACCTATTGGAAAGTTCTATGTTCTACAAAAGAGAATGGGATGCGGTGCCGGAACTGGACATCTGAAGCACGTGAAGCCTTTCACTCCCGCCTGCCTAGTTTCGACTGAAACCGGCTTGTGAAATCAGCAATGCCTAAAAGGCTCAGCAGTTTGGCAGCGGGTATTTGCTAACAGTTATTCTCTTCACCTTAAAACTTAGGTACTTTGCAAGGCTTTGCGTAAGCAATGGTTCATCAGGGTGAAACAGCAATGGCAGCATCAACTGCTCTATCATTGTGAATTGTGTGTGTTTGATGTTCCCCGTGAATCTTTGTAGGTCTTCTCATACTTCAGCGCAAACTCACGAGTGGCTGGCTGTAGTCTTTCAATCTGGTCGGGATTCATATCATGGATAGGTCTTCGTGGCTTCCATCCCTTACGCAGTTCATAGGTGTCCTGTTAGTTGACAGGTGCACTGAGTTGTTATATGCGCTGGCTACCTGAGGGAGGTGTTCATTCGAGTCTACCTGGTCCGGTCTAATTTACATAAGAAGGGTTTGCTGCAACAAATTATTCGTCTGTTCTGTCTGACCATTAGTCTTGAGGTGTCTACTTGACGAGATGCTCAACTGGGATTCATTCACTTTCATGAGCTGCCGCCATTGCTCTCCTGTAGACATGGTAACCGGCTGGCCTTCCGGACCGGGTTCCATACAGTCTGGGAAAATATGTAGGGTTCCGGTGTCCGGTCCTGGACGTCGGGAAACCMCCCCCCAAGCCAAAAAAAAAAAAAAAAGGGCGGCCCAGGACGTTTTCCGGATCCTTAGTGCCCCCTAAAAAATAGTAGGGCAATTTTTGGGTGACGTTTCGACCGACCGGACAGGGCTTACAGGCCCAGATGCAGTCACAGCTCTTTGAGCTGTTTAAGGTGGGTTGGTGGGTGTGTGGGTGCACAATTTCCAACCGGCCGTTTTCAAAGTCCCGCCTGCCGCCGCTGCCTGTTTGGAAGTTGTGACCAGCATTTATATGGCCACAACTTCCCACAAGGCAATTAGCAGAAATAGCAAAGCAAGCAGACTCCTGATGGGAAAAAGCCCCCTGTTCGTGTCCCAGTAATCAGTACACTAACAGAGATTGTTTTCTGTGTTTGCTGGTCTCACTATGGACCTCAGTGATCAGTATTCCTTAGTGCTATGATCCTGTCCAGTTCATGTGGCAGAATGCAAGTTTAAGACACTGCCATTCATCGCAACATAAGCAGAAGAAGCATAAGCTCCCCCTCCTCTTACCAATGTCATCTTCTTCTCCTTCTCTCGCCACCCTCTTCCCCCTCCTCTCACCAATGTCATCTTCCCCCTCACCACTGTCATCTCTCTCCTTCTTTCATGACCATCGTCTCCCTTATAGTATCACTTCACCTCTCTATTGGTTAAGAATTACAAGAATCAACGTCCGAACGACCTCCAGCTCTCTACTTCAGCTCACTCTACCTCTCCGCTCCACTTGGTATGGCTACTAGCTATAGCGGAAGATCCTTGGCGAGCACAGATGTTCAACGGATAACGGAACAACTTTCATACCTCTCCTCTCATCTAGAGCCATAGCTACCTTAGGAACGAAGTAAATGTCCAAACCGCACCTCTGGAGAGGTCTTCTGGATGCGGGAGCAACCAGGAATATGAAGATGTAGGTCCCCCATAGCTAAAGGTAAGTCTCCTTGTCGATTGCCACATCCTTTCTCCTTCCGCAACCTCTACTCAACTCGATAGCCCGGCTGGAATGTCTTGTCCCTCGGCCTCCATAAGCTAGGACTCCTACCTTGCATAAGTACTCTATGGCCATGGAGGTCTTCTCGGCCTCAGCTCCTCGTTAACCCTCAAGTGCTCCACGTCGTTCTCCTTCTGGATGGAGAAGCAGCATGACTACCGGGTGAATGAGCGGGACTACTCAGTGCACTGAATGATATACTCCTGGCTGCCCGGCCTCCAGTACCTCTTCGCCGGGCACCATCTGCCTCTACCTGGCCTCCCTTGCCTGCACTAGATCTACTTGGTGTTTCCGCTTTTGGTGGTCATTTCAGTCTGTAAGTCTACCTTCAGGGCTCGAATCTACCTCTATAAACTAACCACATTTGGGCCTGGCCATCATAATCTACCAGTTGCCAGATCCTCCGAGGCCTAGCTGACTGCTGGAATATCCCTACCATGTGAACCTTAGTATGTCCCTAAGGCTGACTTCATGCCCTGTTCCTGATCCTGCCCCTATTTTTCTATGTTGTCCTCGTCCAGGGGACACACACAACATGGCCACCAGAGTTAGCACATGGACTTGGGATGGGAACCGGAACTCTGGAGGCCAGCAAACGGCATACACACATGATGAGCAGGTCACGTACACACTCAGAAAACATAGCAAACAGACTTAGAATCGGAATTCTCAGCATTCAAAAGGACAGCAAATTTTCAGAAAAGTTCAGAATTCTCAGACTGCAATGGTGTGGGTTGTTGCATTACCCTATGCTACACTGATGTACAACACCAAAGAGTACAATGCTGCTCCCACCACTGCCTGAACGGAGTATGTATTACGATGGAGCTCTTGTTAGTGCCCACCAGGTATGTCTCTCGCTACACCCTGCTCTCTACAGTCTTTCTCCCATGATCTTTGTTCAATGTGCCACCTTCACCTCCCAGGCACCCAGCTCGGCTATGGCTGGTGCTTCAAGCAGCCATACATGGGCTTCACCGGCCCAGCGCTGTCTGCCAACTCACAAAAGATCCCCAGACTGCCGTGTACACGTCCTTTATGCAGGCGGAGATTTAGACACTTCCGGAAGTGGCGCCGACCTGCTGGGACCCCAGAATAGAAGGGGCTTCTGATGCACAAGTGTTTGCTAGGGAAGGTAGACAAGGAAGGCTAGCAGGCAAGGTCCAGGATCAAGTAATGGGGCTAACTTAGGCAGGGGTGGGGGGTGGTATATCCTTCCTAAGGAAGCCATGCCGTCCACTCGGACCTCTCACCCATAATGGCAAGGAGCGTGTGTGGGTTAAATCTGTATGTTTCATGACTTGCTGGGGCAATAGGAACCGGACTGCTGCTCCCCAGAATGGAAAGAGCTGGAGCCAAAGTGGTTCCGTTTTTCTGAACAAAAAAAAAAAAAAGGGTTCACCTGAAGGCCAGGAATAACAGTTTCAGTCTGCTCAAGCTAACTGCTCCTTTGTGATCATTTGTTTAGTGAGGTGGAGTCTTCTCTTTGTTTGATATCGAAAAGTATCTGTATGCTGATCTTAGTTATCTACCTTTTGTGTGTGGGAATATTGTCCAAATTAGAGGTGGTTCTGGAGGAGGATCCGGAGAGAAGCCATTTGTCTGCGTTGATTAGTTTTTCTCTTCTCCACATGTGCATATCATGTAACCAACCGTGCGAACAGTCAATGGAGCTTGAGGCACCACCTGGGGCCTGTTAGGCTCTTGTATCATATGGACTGTCTAGTTTTAGCCGGAATGCTGACAGTGCATTGTTGTTTTGCAGACACCAATTGCTCTGCCAATTTCTCAGGGGTCGCCTTTCAGGCTGTGAAGCATGACTGCACTGCTGCTGCGGAAGAGGGTACTTGTTGCCGAAGCATGAAATGGGCATTTATGCAATTAATCATGGCAAACCCTGTAGAAATGGCTCAAGCTATTCTGGAGCCAGAGAAGATGACAGGTTGCCTTGAGGGCTTCAGGGAAGAAGTAAAGCTACAAGCAGGAGTTAACAAGACGACAGTAGACAAATGTACAATATTCTCAGACTTTAATTTGCCTGATGGTTCAGCATGCACCGGGAACACTGTTGATGATGTTAAGGAAGCTATAACTCAGGCCAAGCTGGGGGAAGGAGGTTGTTATAAGCTGGAGGAAAGGTATATTCTGAACACACGCCATGATGCCTGTTTTTTCTGGCTTTGTGTTTTCCTTTCTGCCTTCCAGAAAAAAGCCAATAGCATTATGGTATTGGACACAGTATTTGCGCTCTTTGACCCATAACACTGGAAAGGCACTGCTTTCCTGCTTTGTTGATTGGCAAGGTCACTGTGGTGCTATCAGGCCATCGGATGTGGCTTCTCTTTTTGTTTGTATCGGTCTCATCGAAGTGCAGACGCGAAGCTTTTCGAGCCCAACTGAAAAAAGGAAAACAAAAGAATGGGCGAAGGGTCATCTAATCTCCAAATGTGAAAAGACCAAAGAACATCGATTTAGTTAAAATGGACATATTATATATTTCAAACGAAATTGAAATCTCATTTTTTGGCCCAAAATTCATCAAATTGAGGGTACGGCATACTGAAAACGCCCTAACCCCTCGATGTATCTGGACTTATGTGGAGTAAATATACATCGAATTGGTCCGGCATTTTCCGGCCTGGATGTACGTGGGCCAAAAATGGGGTAGGGCATTTTCAGAATGCCGTACCCTCAATTTCATGTATTTCGGCCAAAAAATGGGATTTCTATTTCATTCAAAGAAACATAATATCATATTAATATGTCCATTTTAATGTAGTCGCTGTTACACAGTCACTAGGGTACGTGTGGCATGCATGGGCCTTCCACATGGTTCCCCTTCCATAACGCTCCTGCTGTTACGGACTCCACCAGGGCTCGATCCCTGGTCTGCGGGTTACCACCCGCCAGCTTGCTGTATTTATTCTTGATGTTTTTACAATTTTCTTGTTTTCTTTTTCTTTGTTTTTGCTCTTCTGATTTCAGACAGTAGGCGCCATCTGCATTCTGGCGCCCGTTTTCAAAATCCTGTTTTGGGGACTTTCTGATTTCGGACACGTGGCGACATCCGACATTCTGGCGCCCACTCTCAGACTTTCGATTTTTAGTTCTGGCCCTGAGGCATTTTCACTTTCGCCCTCAGGACCGTACTTGAGTCTGGTACTTATGTACGGACTCAACCCCAGTATGGGCACCAAGTTTTCATCCTCCGTGCTTGTGCTCAGTGTGACTTTGCTTTGACATTGTGTTCCGGAAGTCAAGACTGTGACTTTCCGACTTTGCCACTGTGTCTGCGTCCGTCGAGTCGTGCCGGGTCTGCGTCGAGTTGAGTGAGCCTGTGTGTGTGCTCTCACTCTCTGTCTCTTTACCAGCCTCGCTGCTCTGCCTCTGCCTTGTCACACCCACGACCACAAGTGGGCACATGGTTCCCCTCCTGTAACGCTCCACAGGAGTAAGCGTCGGTGGGCACATGGTTCCTCTCCCTGGCGTCCCAACGTTTTTGCATTGATAGAAGGAACAGACACACACACACACACACACACACACACAGAAGGAGAGAGAGAGAGAGAGAGAGAGAGAGAGAGAGAGAGAGAGAGAGAGAGAGAGAGAGAGAGAGAGAGAGAGAGAGAAAGGATCAGGGATGACGGGACAGGAGAGTGTAAACTCACCTACCTCCTCCTACCTCCTCTTTGCTCCTCGGCCTCCCATCCTCCTGCCTCCTCCCTCCATAGTCGTGATCGGCGTGCCCGCTCCGCCTTGTGTGTCTTTCCATATTCTACGGGAAGATGCGAAGAAAAGTGCCCATCCGTTGCGATAGCATCCTGTCTTTTTGGCCCACTATGTGAGAGGCATGAACATTGGTGGGGACACGGTTCCCTATCATGACGTCGGAACTTCTTTTGCATCAATTGAAGGAACACACACACACACACACACACACACACACACACAAACACACACTCAGAGAGAGAGAGAGAGAGAGAGAGAGAGAGAGAGAGAGAGTCGGGAAGCACTGGGTTGGGAGAGCTGAAACTTACCTTATTCCTCCTTCGTCGGCCACTATCCTCCCTCCTCCCTCCATAGTTGTCTTCTGCTTCCTAGCTCCTCCTTGTGCATCTTTCAATGTTCTATGGGAAGAAACAGAGCCCCTGAAAAAAAAGTGCGCAGCCATTGTGATAGCGTTGTTTCCCTTTGTTTCCTGCTTTGTACTTGTATTGCAACATTCGTCCTTGAGTTCGTTCTTAAACAGTCGCGAAACGGGCACGTGCGCATGCTGTAGACACACAGCAGGCCCTGAGAGTTTCCTGCGCCAAGGAGGCTAGCCGCATCATTCACCTCTGTGACTCCCAGAGGGGTTTTGTCCGCCATGTCCTGCGCCCACCATTCACAGAAGGCCCGGACTACAGGACATCTGAGAAATAGATGAGGTACATTCTCCACCTCCCCACACCCTGCAGCACATGACTGGTCCTTCTGCTGACTTCTTGTTGGTAGCCATTGTGCTGTTGGGATTGGGAGGTGGTACAGCTTCCATGGCAGGCCCACATGCTTCTGGTCTGGACGGGCAGCCAAGATGGCGCTTTGCTCTTTCCATCTTCGGTGAGTCCATCTGTTGACGTAGGCGTACGGGATCCAGTCCCTCTTAGCCCATCGGCCTTTCAATTCTCCGCATATGTCCACCAGGTCCAGTAAAGAGTTATATATGTTCTTTGTGTTGAGGCACTGGAGTTGCACCGGCTTTATCGGCATCCTTTGAGCCGGCCACTCCCACTCCACCGGTTCCCAGACCAGGTCCCGTCTTCGAGCATCAATTCGGAATGGCAGGTACTGTCCTCTCCCCTTCGGACCCTCTTCACACACAAGCACTGTTTGCATCATGCACCTATTCATCATTTTTCGAGGTTTCCCCTCTTGCTCACCTCATTCCTGCAGGGGATCCCCCATTCCTTCATAGCCCGAATTCACCTGCCATCCCGTCACTTTCAGGTTGCCGTCGGGCAGCACTTGCTCAACTTTGTAGACTGTCCGGTCTCAGGCTTCCTCTCACCTTCAGCCATTCCTGTGAAGTTATTTCATCTCTTCTTAACATCTCAGTCCAAAGGGGGGGGATGGCTTCTTGCAATTGTCTAAGTCTCTGCCTTTGCAATCAGACTCGTTCTCATTCACACTTTTCATGCATGTAAACAGTAGCGCAGCAAACTGGCGACATGCGCCCACTCAAAACTCAGAGATATAGCATCCAGATACGAGTTCGCTTTCAACTGGCTATGGCGACTCAGCGCCCAAACAACTCACTGTTCACATACACCGGATCACCCTGGATACACACACACACAAACTCGCTACACACTAACTCTAGCTATGGCGGCTATGGCCGCAACTACCCTATCGCTATGCTACCCTCCTCTCTCACCCACTTCAGCTCCGGGCTCTCTGCAGACCTCCTTGCGCAAGTAGCTGTGGCAGTGCTTCCGCATGGCTCACGCAGGAATGAATCAAAGGCTGGGCGCTGCCTCTTGATTTATACTTCTGAAACTCGTTGGTCTGCCCTCTTCCATCGGCCCATGGTGCTCACAGTCCCTTGTGGTACTTGCTGGACCGGACTGGGACTSACTGGACCTTACCGCTGACTGAGTGGGGACTCACTGCTAACCTACCGAGATCGTACTGCAATTGCACTGCAGTTTAGTCCACCACTTGCCTCACCACTTGCCCACTTGCCCACTTGCTGACCTTCTAGAAGGACTACAGCTAAGACTTCTGGAACTCACTAAGACTTCTATCCTACAGATCTACAGATCGAACCCGTCTGCTACCTACGGACCTATGACAGCCTATCAACGGTTTACGAATACGCAGGTCACAGGTTCAACTCTCGGGGTCTACACAGGTACTGTACACAGGTAGGGCAAGGTCTAGGGATCGAACCCTGGGATCTGCGTCTACCGCTGCAAAGAGGTGAAAACCGTTTCACTCCCGCCGTCCTAAATTCGAGGTCCTTCGAGAAAATTTCAGTCCAAGGCAGGTCCTTTACCCTTCTTGTCACGCTCATAGGCTCTGACTATGTCGGGAGCTGTTTCTTGGAGTTCTGTCCTTGTAAACCAGCGGTCGTCTGCCGGTTCCTGATAAGCAAAGCGGACCTTGTACTGTTTCTGGGGACGACCTCTACCTACTGTTTTGAACACATCCTCATGTACAATGTCGTCAATGTCATAACTTCCGTCCATATCAGGGGGGATCATGGATCTTCTTGAAGGAAACTGTTGACTTGTGACACACGGCAACAGCTTTGACGCATGAAAGACAGGAAAAGTGTGGAGGTGCGCTGGATTTTGTATAGTGTAGGACGGTCCATCCTCTCCGCCCTTGACTTCTAGGACCGGCCACAGTCCTCTATATGCAGGTAGCAACTTCTCCAAGATGTGCTCCTCAGGTGCAAACTCCTTAGACTTGACCCAGACGAAGTCGCCTACTTGAAACTGCGAGGGGCGAAGGTGCTTATTGGCCTGTTCTATCATTCTGTGCTGGGCCTTCCTGAGGTTCTCAACAACTGTAGCTAGCTCTTTCTCGTGCTGTATTGTGAACTCCCTGCTACTGGGCGGTTGCCTGTGAATCTGATCCAGGTTCAGTCCTTCGAACGGTCTGCGTGGTCTAAAGGACTTGTGCAGCTCATTGGGAGTGCGACAAGTGGATAGATGAACGCTGTTATTGTATGCACTGGCTACCTTAGGCAACAGCTCATCCCAATTGATCTGGTCAGGTCTAATGTACATGCGCAGAACTTGCTGTAGGATCTTGTTCATCTGTTCTGTCTGATTGTTGGTCTTTGGATGACGGCTAGATGACATTAATAACTTTGACCCTTAAACTCTCATGAGTTCTTGCAGTTCTGGCTGGTGAAACGACTATCTCTATCGCTAACTATGGATAATGGGACTCCGTTCTCACTAACCCAATGATCAAAAAACTTTTGAATAACTAATTATGTGCGTGCCTCTGCAGGCAAAGAAACAAAAACAACATACTTGCTAAATCGGTCAACGATGACCATGACTTGGCTCTTGCCATGCCTACTCTTGACTTGAGTATCCATGAAGTCTATGGACACTGAGTCTCCAGGCTGATCAGGAATAGGCAGAGGTCTGAGAAGACCTAGAGGGGCACGCGTAGTGGTCTTGTTCCTCATGCAAACTTTGCAACTGCGGACATACTCTATGCAGTCATTCTTCATTCCTGGCCAGGTATACGCATGCATTAGATTGGCTAGAGTCGTTTGCCAACTGAAATGTCCCTCTCTATTGTGGCATTGCCCTAGGATCAAACTACGGATCTCCTCGCTGTTGGGAACTCATAGACGGTCGAATACGTTAGTCTTCTCAAACAGCAACCCGTCTGTAGTGCGGTAATCTGGTTCAGTCTCTGGGGCATACGCTTGCCTCACTTTCTCCTGCAGGTCTCTCCCTATATCCAGACAGTGTACTACGGCTCCAAAGTAGTCTAATTTTCTACTTAGAGCATCCGCAACTACGTTGTACTTGCCCTTCATTGGCTTGAGCTCAAAGTCATACTGGTCTATCTCATCGGCCCACCTAGTTAACTTAGGTGTCATCTTGGCCTGGGTCTTTAACCATCTAAGTGTTTCATGGTCAGAATACACTATGAAGTGCCTCCCAAGCAGGTAATGCTTCCAGTGCTCCAGAGCCTGCCTGAGAGCGTAGAGTTCTCTCTCATATGTCGAGGTGGCTACGTTCTGTGAGGGCATCCTGGCTGACATGAACTCTACGGGTCTATAGCCATTGCCGTCGTCTTGTTGCAACACGGCGCCTATACCATACTGGCTCGCGTCCGTGGTGACAATAAATGGCAAGGACAGATCAACTACTTTGAGGACAGGATACTCTATCAACGCGCGCTTTAATCTCTTTAGCGCAGACGTAGTCTTTATCCCATTGCCAGATTGCCTCTTTCTTTAGCAAATTGCGCAAGGGAGCGGCGATGGTAGAGAAGTTCCTCACGAACTTCCTATAGTAGTTGGCTAGGCCTAAAAACGACCGCAACTCTGTCAATGTGCGGGGTGCCGGCTAGTCTCTAATCACCGCTATCTTGCTGTCCTCTAGCTTAATGCCGTCTCCGTCTAATACGTGGCCCACGTACAAGACTTGTGTCTTGGCCCATCCGCACTTCTTCGTCTTGATCTTGAAGTTAGCCTGTCTAAGCTTCTCCAAGACCTGCCTCAGATGACCCTGATGCTCTTGGAGGGTCTTGTTGAACACTAAGATGTCATCTAAATAAACTACTACAAACTTGTCTAACCACAACCTAAACAGATCGTTCATACATCGCTGAAACGTCGCTGCCGCGTTAGTCAGTCCAAAGGGCATCACTATAAACTCATAGTGCCCATATCTAGTTCAGAATGCAGTCTTGTACTGGTCATCAGGATGGACCTCTATCTGATGGTATCCGGACTTCAAGTTTATCTTAGAGAAGTACCAACCCTGCACCCGATCTAAAAGATCGTCTATCCTGGGTAGTGGCTCAACATTCTTTACTGTAATTGCATTCAAACCCCTTTTCAGCTCTCCTTCCTTCTTGGGGACAAACAGAACAGGTGCTCCTAAAGGAGACGAACTGGGCCTGATCCAACCCTTCTCAAGGAGCTCGTCTAACTGCTTGCGCAGCTCCATTAACTCTCTAGGGGACATCCTGTAGACTGCTCCCTTAGCAGTCCTACTGCCAGGCTCTATCTCTATCCTGTGCTGGATGGGTCGCGACACTACTCCTGTAGGCGACTCAGTCAAATCTTTGAACTCTTCCAGCAGTTTGGCAATCATTGGGTCTGTGGAAGTCACCTCTTCCTTAGCCTCAGTGACAGGTGTAACATAAACTACAAAGACTTGTTCCTCTAATCGCTCCTTCTTCACTAACCGCGCGAACGCGGGAGCACTGAAACAACAATGTGCCAAGGTGTTGTCTACGTTTGACACATGAAACAGGCGGCCAGTCTTAACCTCGCCTGACGGACTAGGGAGTCTACACTCATGCTCTCTCAAGTGGAGTGGGCCCCGGCTGCCTCTCCCCAATCCATTCCTAACACCATGTCGAAAGGAAGGTCATCCTGAACGAGGAGTGTTAGGGAATGGAGAACTTTCTCCACCTTCCCATCCTTCTCTTGGCGAAAGTACGTTTGGACTCCCTCTACGTAGTCCTCAACACGCATTGTGCGGTTGTCTGCGAGGACACTGACTATAGGGTCTGCTAACTTTTGGACTTTTAATCCTAGTCTCAACTTCTTCAGCGCTCTACGGCTAATATAACTACGGGTCGCCCATGAGTCTATGAGGGCCCCTGCTCTGCTTCTAAATACTTCTACATCTACCAAGATCAGTTGTCCCTTACTCTCCTTCCTCATTTTGGCCCAAGCGGGCATCCTCTCCTTCAACTCTTCTGCCACACTTGTGAGGGACGTGCCTAGAGAGACGCTGACACAAGCAGTCTCTGGACAGCTAGCTAGGCACGGGCCTGCAACCTCTGCCATAGGCTCATGTTGTTTGGGAGTTTCCTGTTCGCGCGCGCTCGCTTCCCCACATGGCCTTGAAGTAGGGGCAGTTGCGACCCCTACTGGCGGCTGCCTTTTGACTGCTGCGCAGCCCATCGGGCCTGTATGTACTTAGGACAAATTTGATAACGTGGGCCGCGTCACCACAAAACACACACTGGCCCTGGTCCACGCGTTCCTGCCATATACGCTAGTCCAAGCCCAAATCTTTTCAGGGCCTGCCCTGTGGTAAGCCTGGGTGCCATCCTCCTTGAGGTGCCCTTCCACCTCGTCGCTGTGGGGACCGACAAGAACCCTGGCGATTTGGGAGGGACCTTGACCCCTACCTCCCACTTGGCGGTTCCCTTGTCCTCCAACCCCCTGTGCGCCCGGTCCTCGGCCTCCCATGGCCTGGCTCCTTTGGCCTTGGCCTCCTCCTCTACTTTGCGGCCTCCCTCTAGCCGCGACAACAACATGGGACCTCCCTTTCCCCACGCTACTGTCCTCCTCCTCAAGGCCCCATTCGATCTGACTGTATGGGACCGCATCGGTACCACCTTCCTCTAAAGGATCATATGATCCTTGACCCTTACTTGGCCTGAGATGGTACGACCCTTCCACTTCTTCGCCTTGTCCAGATCCTTATGCCAGAAAGTGGTAACTGGCATGGACTTTGACTCATACAGGACCACTTCCCTACTCAACGTATCATAAGTGATGCCGGCCTGTTGAGACTTGTCAAAGAAGTGCCCACGCAGGGCCTCTGGCATGGCACGATAAAACAATTGGACCAACTAGGGCTCAGTGACCCCATAGTCTGCGACGACTACTAAGTCGTCCATGACGCCCTTGAGTGCTCTTGCACTCCTCCACTGTCGCGAGTGGATCGTCTGCAACTTATCAGAGGCCCTGGCGCCTCTCGTTGGATCAGCAAATCGCTCCCTTAGGAGCTTGAAGAATTGAGGAAGGGGAGTGACTTTAGAATAGGCAACCAGGTTGTTTTCACAACCTGCTGCGCGCGCAAGGGACCTGGCGAAACTGGCCGCTTCATCTTTGAGGGCCTGGAAAGCTACAAGGACTTGCTCCTCTGTCAGGATATGCTGCAAGTACACTGTTGACACTGGCCTCCCAGTTGTCGAAGTTCTCCTCCTTTTTCCCCCCGTATGCATCTGGGAACTTGAGCTTTACGGACTCTTTACGGGGTTTGGCCTTGCCCTCTACAGCGGCTATCGCCTTGGCACCTTCAATGGCACCTTCGCAGAACTTTCCCACGTTGTCTCTCAACTTCCTGACTTCTCCCCCAACGTGGGTAACCATATCGCGCGCGAAGTCCCTTAACCCCGACCGCATGGCACTCAAGGCTACTTCTTGGCTCCAACTGGCCTGGCGCTCCTCCATCCACGCTGCGCTCAACACCTCCAAGTACCCCAACACCTTATCCGATTTGGCCTTGTCGCCTGTCAGGGCCTCCACTTCCTGCCTACAATCCTTCACCTTTGCCACCTCTGCGGTCAGCCTATTGACTTCCTCCCTCCTCTTTTTCTCTCTCTTCATTCTCATTTTCCATTCCAACTTCTGCTTCTCTTCCCTTTCTCGCCGTTCCATGGGGTCCTCCATTGCCATTAGCTCCTTGGCTAACGCCTCTGTCTCATCCTGTGGCACATAAGACTCCGCCTCCTCGTTTTCTCCCAATGATAAATTAGCAACCCACTCGCTGATCTTTTTCTCCATCTCTGCATCTTCATCCATTTTCGTGCCACTACTCCCCTCTCTACTCTCAATATGCATCCTCTCTTTTGCTTCTTCTGCTGCTGCTTCCTCTTCGGCAGCCTTTCTCCTCTCTTCCTCCTCCTGCTGAACTCTCTTCATCTCCTCCAATCTTCTCATCTTTGCCGCCTGCTTCTCTGCAATAGCCTTTAGCTTCTCTTGTTTTTGGAGCTCTTTCCTCTCTTTGTTCTCTCTCACTAAGGCGGCCATCTTCTCTTGCTGCTCAGGGGTGTAGGGGCTAGTGCTCTTCCCACTACGCAAGTCCACCATGGTGATAGGTGCACAATCAGAACGATTCCACTCCTCACCACTTAGACTCTAACCCCTGACTTATAACTTACTGACTCAATCTAAGACTCACAGAATTCGGACAGGGATCCCGCCAACTAGGGTCTCGAGCCTGGACCTAACTATGGCTGTCACTACTTGACCTATTGCTGATCAGGAGACATTTAAACCACAAGTACACCCGCACCTGATTTAAACGAACCTGAATTTCACTGCGCACCGAGTTTTGCCGAGCCTGGGTGCGGTTGTATTTTCTTTTCTCACACTCCTCCTAAAAGAACAACGTGAAAAAGAGAAACGAACTAAAAAAAAAAAACCACCACAAAGCTATGGACGAGAAAGCAGTTGGATACAGAATCAGGGGTCAGTGTGAGAGTATGCCCTCAGTGAGGGCATTTACAGCTCCACGTTCATCACGGACGTTACTTTCAGAAATGAAAAGCAAAAAAAAAAGAGCCCGAATATGGACGTGAAACCGTTTAGATACAGAATCTGAGTATATGCCGTCTATGAGAAGTTGTCAGAAGTCTGTGTAGTGTTCCCTGCCCCGCGTTCATCACGGAGGTTCCTTTCAGAAATGAAAAGCAAAAAAAAAAAAAAAAAAAAACAATATGGACGCGAAACAGGTCAGATACACAATCCGAGTGTATGCTCTCTTTGAGAAGTAGTCAAGTCCGTGAAGTGCTCCCTGCCTCACTGGCAGGGACCCCAAAAGAAAACAGAAGAAGAAACAAAACAACGAAACAAACAAACAAACTAATACAAGCCATAGGTGCGGTTAGATTCGTTCCTGAGTGTTGTAGTGTGAGCACACCTTCTTC